CTATCTATCTATCTATTTATCTATCTATCTATATATATATATATATATATATATAGTTTTGTTATCTATGTACATATGTATTATTTTGTTCATATCTATCTATCTATATATATATATATATATATATATATATTGTTTTATTATCTATGTACATATGTATTTTGTTCATATCTATCTATCTATCTATCTATCTATCTATATCTATCTATTGTTTTGTTATCTATGCACATATGTATTATTTTGTTCATATCTATCTATCTATCTATCTATCTATATATCTATATATCTATATATATATATATATATATTGTTTTGTTAATATCTATGTACATATGTATTATTTTGTTCATATCTATTTATCTATCTATTGTTTTGTTAATATCTATGTACATACATATTATTTTGTTCATATCTATCTATCTATCTATGTATATATATTGTTTTGTTATCTATGTACATACGTATTATTTTGTTCATATCTATCTATCTATCTATCTATCTATCTATCTATCTATCTATAATTTTATAACAAAACAAGTACCGTCTAGAATAATTATGCCGATGGAAATTTTCCACCATTTTTTTTGAGTTGGCGGGAGGTTGTTACAAGACAAAAATGATGTTCCATTTCCGTATACATTTACGTATTTATTCGAATGGTGTTTTTTATATTGACTACCCAGATTTGATCCCATCCAAATAAACAGCATTTGTGCTGTATCTATCTATTATTTGCATTACTTCTCGAACATCAAACACTAAAATCTATTGACTATTTTGACAATTAAATTTAATTATATGCACAATCTTTACCCTGTACCAAGACGACATATATTGATTGTCTGTTACCTCTATTTAAATTCTAATAGAAAATATTTCAACTTATGAAGTTTTATATTTAATACTAAAATTCACCCATTATGAGAGCCACTAAAATTAAAGGGTTACTGTTAAAATAAAGGATGTTCCAATAACTTGGACCGATTATGAACGTGATTTAAGTTTAAGCGTCCAATGATTTTTTTCTTCTTCTTTCAGATTTAACAACTTAAGCCTTTGACAATTTCAACCATGGAAAGATTAATCACACAGCGTGTTAAATTTATCGAAGCCTATTAAGAAAATAGACGTTCCAGCAGAAATGCTTTTCACGCATTTCGCGATTTTTTGGTCAACATAATCGACCAATCGAGAGTGCAATGTAAGATTGTTGTGGGGAGGTTCAGTTCCTGCTCACAATGGCGAATCGAGGTGTATGGATTTTCGGCCACATTCTAGTGCACTGCAGCAATGTTTTCAGCTGAACGGGGGAAACGAGCACGCAATGGTGTTTTCACATCTGCCACCGACCCAGTTTGTTTGAATTTATGAACAATTCTTCCAATTGCATTCTTGAACCTTTAACACGTTGTTTGACTTTTAATCTTTCTGTGGTTGAAATTGCCAAAGACTTAAGTTTTAAAATCTGAAAGAAAAAGAAAAGGATCATTAGATGCTTAAAATTAATTCACATTTAAAATCGGTCCAAGTTATTGGAACACCCTTTAGTAATAATGAATATCATAAATGAATGAGGAGATGGTTTGAAAGTGAAGATGATGTGTCTAAGGTTAAACTTGAAGAGATTAAGTGTGTACTGTTCAAGGGAGAATCTACAATGGTGTATCTTCTGTAAATAGCAGTTCTTAATAAAAATTAGAACATGGGGGGAATCCGAATGATTCGACTGTGTGGAATTGGCATGGCCCTAGTTCTAAATGTTTGAATTGTGTGACACTATTTGTTACTGGTAATAATAAGAAGGTTTTTGTTTGAATAGAAGCAGCGATATACTGACAGATACCTGATAAAAATAAATAAGAAGGGTTAATGAATAAATCCCGTGGGAAAAATTGTAGACAGCCATCTGAATTGTGTGACGGGGTTTTGAACACATGTTTGATGTGGATTTGAACTGCGACAGGTCAAATGGCAACAAGGATGGGCAAATTGGTCGATCATACAGTCAGTTATGTGCCATGCTTGATACACGCTTAGGTGGTCATGTATCTTTCGAGGCAGATTTTTTCCCGCAGTTGGTTGCCATTTCTTTCTGAGGTAGACCGATTGCCATCCAAGGCTATAGAACCCGGTCTGTACTCGAAGAAGAAGAGGATTCATACCTTTCTCAAGGGTATTAGCACGTAAATGAATGGATTCGACTGGAATTCGAGCTCAGCTTTCCGATTCCTCAATCCGAGCCACTATCCATTACTCTACCTTGCCTCCTCTGATCACACACACACACAGCTCAAAATACAGGCTATGAAGGGGAAAATTTTCTGCATAAAGAATAAACATCGAATTAATCTTTATTAGTGGATGGCTGACGTCGCGAGCACAGATGCGTTACTAAGGAAGATGAAGGAGCCATCCACGCCCACTGAGGAGGATTAGTGGGAGGTGATAATAAGAGGAAGTGGAAGTTATGGCGCGGAATAATGACTGTAACCAACAACCGTGGAAGAGGAAAATTCCACGAAATTATGCCGGACCCAGACAATGGAGATGACAAACAGGGGGAAACATCGAATTCCGCAAACTGCGTCGAGCCCCGAGCCGGTTTAGGCGAACGTCAATAAATACGAATGCTCGGAAGCGAGTGAGAGAGTTCGTTCCAGCCACTGGACACGGGCTTACCTCACGTGATTATCTGCCTACGAGAACCTCCGACATCAGCCTTGTGCAAAAACTTTACCAAATCAGTAAAACAAATTTTGCCAAATCAACAATGTGTCACACCCGAGTTAGAAATGGGTTGGGCTGATAATTGTTTACATGAGAACTCTTGTAAGAATTAACCAATTTCTGTACTAAGGGCTTGATATGAAAATAGTATTTATTTTTTAATTTATTCGGGTGTTTTTTTTTTCTTTCTTTGCGTCTTCGGCTTGCCTGGACCAGCCCAATACGAAGATACTTAACGATTCGATCTTGTCCGCCTTATGATCAAAGCAAATCACAACGTTTGAATAAGGCAGGACCTGGATCGAAGCGATCACTTCGTCGATCAGATGCGGGATTGGACGTATTGGACGACTGGGGAGGGTGTAGAAGATCTAATGGATTCCGTTCATCTGAACATTTGCAATGGAAATAGCGATAGAGTAAGGATAGGCTAGCGACGATGCATCTGTGGGAAAAGAGGCTGCGGTATGGGAAATAATATTCAAGAATATTGATTGAACAGCTCCAGCCTAGACGTGGGAGAAATATATTAAATTCTTTCAATCCAATCTAAAAATTTTTTAACATACATCATGGCAGAAGGAATCAGCTATTTCCTGGAGCGATAGAATGAGCCGACTATTTTCCCAGGATATTTAGCAATGGATTCTATACATGATTTCCACTTGAGGTCGGTAGTGAATATGAAACTCAATAAACGTTCAGAGTATGAAGCCTCTTTAAGTGTGTAATCACTATTGTAATGAGAAAATTCAGGATCTGAACAGTGATGATGAAATGATATTAACTTTGTTATCAGCAAAGGCAAAACAACAACAACAACAACAGCAGCAGCAAAAAAAAAAACAAAACAAGAACAACAACAATAATAATAATAATAATAACAAATCTTCTGATATGCAGTATGCATGGCTATCATGGCTTCTGATCTGGTGGTCGTAAAATGTACATGTTTTGTCTTAGTGAATTAAGATGGACTGCAGTAAATATATTCCCTTCAATAAAACATACTTAAATATCAGTAGACTGACCATAACAAATGGGGTTGTCACCTAGTGCATTGTGCATCACTGTTCCTGAGTGATTAATTGATCCGTTTTTTCAGCTTATCAACCCTTTGCAGGTTATTTAAAGCCAGAAAATATTTTTAGACTGTAAAACTTTTTTAAAAAACATACTGGTATATTGATATAAATCTTGATAAATACTCCATAGCTGGGGGGTGAGAGGTGGATTTAAATCTTTCCCAAGCATGGAAGTGAATATAACGAACCTAACGTTAATTGAAACTCGGTCCTCTTATTAACAATCCCATGCTATATATCCTCTACACTTCCAGCACATGGATGCTTACAGCAACTGGTATTCCTAAGCGGTCCACTGTTAGTGAGCTGGATGAATCGTGCTCATGTAACACATTTTTAAGATTTCGAAGAATTAGGCAACCAAAGCACCTTAGGGCCCACATCTAGATATTTGGGGGCACCTTCAGTGGGAGAACGTCTGAGGTACCTGATATGAAGGTATTTCTAACTATGCCCCACCTACATGATTTTGAGCGGCTTTTATCAAAATCTTCCACCACATCGCACACATTTGGCTGTAACGCATGCGCCCGGTACACCCTTATCAGACTGGTTGTCGTGATTTGTATAGTGGGCTTTTAATATGTGTTAGCGTGCTTCTCCTGATCAATAATAATAATAATAATAATAATAACAACAACAATAATAATAATAATAATAATAGTTAAGATGAAAACGCATTTTTAAGAAAAGATAATGAAAAAACACAGTGTTTGACAATCTTAATATTTTGTCAGAATGTCTGTCTTCTGTTTTCTTCCTGTTTACTCTTCTACTTTATTTTTTCTTAACACTCGCCCTTCTCTTAACTGTAGAACAATATTAAAAAAGTTACATAAATCATTTTATTTAATAATAATAATAATGATAATAATATTAATAAAATAATAATTGTAGGAATAATATTAGTAATAATAATAATAGTAGTAGTTGCTTAGGTGAATGGCAAAATTAGAATTTCTTGGAACATTTAACTTGAAACGGATCACCTTCAGGAGAGGAGACCCAATTCTGAGGCCGTTTCTAGATGAAAGTAGTGTCATTGGGTTGATGTCAACGTTCACGTAGATCATAGAATAAAATGATGACACTAGAAGTGTCATTAATGGAAGAGTATCAGTCGTAAGTCCCGTTTCTGTCTCTTTTTGCCAACTCACGACTTATTCTGTATGTCACTCGTATAATTTTATGCTGAAAAATTCCCATCAGTTACAGGTACTTTTTTTATATAAAAAGATATCTATCTATCTATCTATCTATCTATCTATCTATCTATCTTTCATTAATATTTTCATTAATTTCTTTCTCCCTCACTCACCCTATCTCAGTCTGTTTCCCTATCTATCTATCTATCTATCTATCTATTTATCTATCTATCTATCTATCTATCTATTTTCATTAATTCCCTCTTTCCTTCTCCTCACTCACCCTATCTCAGTCTGTTTCCCTATCTATCTATCTATCTATCTATCTATCTATCTATCTATGTCTTTTCATTAATTCCCTCTTTCCTTCTCCTCACTCACCCTATCTCAGTCTGTTTCCCTATCTATCTATCTATCTATCTATCTATCTATCTATCTATCTATCTATCTATCTATCTATCTATGTCTTTTCATTAATTCCCTCCTTCCTTCTCCTCACTCTATCTCTATCTGTTTCCCTATTTCATCTATCTATCTATCTATCTATCTATCTATCTATCTATCTATCTATCTATCTCAAGAAAGCGTTGTTTGGGAAGCTTTATTCAGATTAATTTATTAGACAAGAAAAATACCAGACAATAGATTCCATTTTTCTGGCGATGGACACAGTAAAATTGAATGCGAATGAAATGCTGGATACATATCTAGGCAAGCAATTCTCGAACGTTTTTTTTTACTCTAAAATTATGTATTTAGGCCGCTTATTAGCCAAACTACAATATTATAAGTAGATTTCTCGTATCCAATACTTAATGAAATAAAGACACTACACGAAATTCAATAATGTATTGTTGTTTATCTTTTTTAATTATGTAATAACATTTAGAAATTGGGCCAATAATTCAGTTCGAATTCTTAAGAAAACTAATGAAATGGTGGATATTATTTGGAAACTTAATTCTCAGCGTCTTGATTCGTTTTTGACAATATTAATTGCAAGTCTGGGCTTATGCCTAGACAAGATCCATATTTTTTTTACATCGCTCAGTGTCGAAAACCCTGCTTCACGTAAATATGTGGTAGAAGACAGAAGCAGATATTTTCATGGACCATTCTGACAGTTTTCTATGTATATCACCTTTTGTACTGAATATACACAATTCATTTTTATATTATATTGTTTTCAAAGCTTATGGCGCCTCTGGGCGAATTTTGTGAACTGATTCAATCTTTCTTCATAAATCACCAAATGAAAGTCATATTGAACAACCACTCTCATAAATCTTTTTTTCATTAATGCAGAAGACCCCTAGGGTTCTATCCTTGGATATAGGCTGTTCCTAATTTTCATCGATGACATTTCTGGTGGCTCCAGCTCTCAACTTTGAAGCTACACTGATGACCCAACTATTTACGCATGTTACTATTAAGTCAATAAGATCATAAGTTTCGATAAGTCTCAACAAGGTCATAAGTCTCAATAATGTCATAATGTTCGATAAGTCTCAATAAGGTAATAAGTTTCAATAAGGTCATAAGGTTCGATAAGTCTCAATAAGGTCATAAGTACGATGTCTCAATAGGTCATAATTCTCAATAAGGTCATAAGGTTCGATAAGTCTCAATAATGTCATAAGGTTCGATAAGGTCAAGTTGGCAGCAAATCCAAAAGGTGCCCTAAAATATACTGTTAACTGAAACGAAGAATGGATTGCTAATTTGAACGCCTCCAAAACAAAACTTTTCCTATCTGTGTGACACACTTTTGCCTTCAATCAGCATGGCTGATGCTAACCTCCAGGAGAGTGTCTAACGTTCTTTGCTGACTGGTAGTAAATTTGTGTGGTGCTGACATTTTTCTCCAGAATATATATATATATATATATATATATATATATATATATATATATATATATGATGAGTCCCAAATATAGAACGAAACGGCCGTCCAGTGCTTTCTGCATTCTGTTGAGGTTTCTTTCAGACTCGATGAATTACTTAAAATATATATATATATATATATATATATATATATATATATATATATATATATATGTGTGTGTGTGTGTGTGTCCACCATTTGTCCATGCCTTGAATATGGCTGCTACATATGGTCTAGTGCTACTGCTATATATTTATAGATTCATGATAAAATCCAGTGAATAATCTGCAATGTTATTGGTCCTGATCTGGCATCCCGGCTTAAGACAGTTTACCATCGCCTTAATGTTGATTTCGTGTACCTTTTTTATAAATACTTTTATGGTATTTGATCTGAGGATCTTTCGCTATGGTACTGAGACTTTATGAATTTAAGCGCAATACAAGACAGGCAACAAGGTCGCATCATTTTACAGTTGAATTGGCTAGATGCAACCGTAAGTTCTTTGCTGACAGTTTATTTTCTTGCACTTCTCGCCTGCGGAACTTTCTTCCAGCTTTCTGATTCCTTATAAAACTCCGATGTGCAAAAATGTAAATGCAATATCAATCGTTATCTACTGTCTTCTTGATTTCTATTTTTGTTCTCGCCCCTTCCTAATATTTTTTTATTCTTCCACATTCCGTAACCTCTTGTGTCTTAGTGGCTTTATTGCCGTTTTGGGGTGAAATGATGAAACAAAAACAACAACAAAAAGCTTTTATACGAGGTTTTTTTTTTTTTTATCAACTATCGATTACGCGTAAAACTATTCCTGGCTTTGTGTATAAATCCTTCTTTACCCAATAGAAAATAAATCCAATTTTTATCCAGCATCTGCTGCGGGTTGTGCGAGAGAAATTTATTAAAAAACTGGGAAATATGCAGCTGGCGATTCGACCAAGAGCAACATGAGAACTAGGAAGAGATGTATTTTGAAAAAAATGGAGACCTGGAAACAAATCGAAGCCATTTAGAGAAAGACAAGAGAACTTGTGTGCATGTTGGAGCATTGTCCAGACATGGTGTCGTTTTTTACCCTGCAAAATTCAACAGACATTTCTAGTGTGAAGAGAAACACAATAATGACTTTAAAAGAAAATAAAGAAGTCACAGCCGCGAAAATGTCTTCCCAACACGCTTAAACTGTTAAGACCAAGTGAAAACAAATGTATTCGAACAAATTACTTTAATAAAATAAAGCTTAGAAGCAGGCAGATACAGCGCCGATTGCGACAAACTATTGAAAGACAACACTGGAATATTACACTTCATCATATTAAGTTAGCTGTATTGTTTCATTCATAATCATAAGATTATTGAAATTAACGGAACATGGTATATATATATATATATATATATATATATATATATATATATATATATATATATATATATATATATATACATATATATATATATATATATTAATTGATTTAAAATATGGTTATTTTCGCTACACAGTTTTAACCATGTTTCAAAAATGGAATCTGAAAGTTCCGAATTTAATTTTGTAATTAAATTAAAGACATTAGTTCCATTTCATCCTCAAGCGAATTTTGGAGTAACTTTTATAATTACTGGGTTTTAAAGACACAGCAAAAAATCATAATTCACGTTTCAAGGATACAGAGAAATCCAATTCAACCAGACAAGGGGTGTTTGCGTGTTCATTATCGCTGTATTTTGATGTATCAGTTATTAGTTATTAGTAAATTTACATTGAGCACTATTTCGTAAAAATAAGAATATCTATAAGAACACCAGATTATATATCTTACTGTTCTTTCTTTTATTTATATATACATACATGCATACATATATATATATATATATATATATATATATATATATATATATATATATACCATGTTCTGTTGAATCTCAACAGTCTTATGAGATATATATATATATATATATATATATATATATTAGGTTGGTGCAAAAATAATGACGTAATAATGTCGGTTTTTGACGTTAAAAAATACCTCAAAAAACGACATTATTACGTCATTATTTTTGCACCAACCTAATATATATATATCACCGTAAGCAAGGCAGTAAAGACACTAAGGCCTGTGAAAGAATACGAAAAAGAAAACCATTATTAAGGATCGAGAACATTAAAAGAAGAGGAATCAAGAAGATAGTAGCTAACAGATAACACTGCCTTTCAATTTTTGAAGATCAAAGTTGACTGGTCAGGAAGAAGCGGGCAAAGAGTTCTACAAGTGAGAAGTTTAATAGAAGAAAATGTTAGCAAAGAACTTACGCTTACATCTAGCCACTTCAACTGTAAACTGATGAGACCATATTGTTAATCTAGTACTGCGGTTATATTAAAAAATTCTATGTACTATAGGGGAAAGTTCATCTGAACTATTACTATAAAAGGGCTTATAGGAAAGCTGTAGGGAAGATAGATTTCCGCGGTGGGAAAATAACTTAAACCTTGATGTCAGGTCAGGACGAACAAAATTGTAAATTCTTCTTTGTATTTTATCCAGAATCTAATTATTTAGCAGGAACTCCAAACCATATCGGGCAGAAATATTCAAAGCATGTACAAAGAGTAAACTTATAAATATGTAAGATAGATTCTGGAGAGAAAAATTGTCTAGTACGACACATTGAACCAAATTTCCCAGCAGTCGGCCTAGAAATTTATTCGATAAATAATCTTTCCTCCTCATGACAACAGAGAACGTTCGCTAAAATACAAAATAATGGTATTTCTTTTTTTTTTATTACACTAAAGTTTACTCGAAATAAGGCTGTGTGTGGAGAGCTACTAAATATGGCTGCTTTATGGACGTAAGAATTGTAGATTATGAGAATATGCAGGATAGTGATTGACACTAGACTTGAAAGAATTAAGATTGTAGTTTTCCACGCGGGATTCTCATCCATAAAGAAGCAGTTCTTGAGAAGGCGGCTTTAGATATAAAGAACGAAGTTGGTGCCAGTAAAAAAAATGGAGTCGTCGGAAAATTTACCGATATGCGATATGCTTGCAACATTGCGTCTATGATTAACAGCTTCTTTTTTTTTTTTTACAGTAAGGTTCACCCTGCACAAGGCTCGGGGTCACTCGAGGTAGAGAGTTACTTTAGGGGATAGTTTATATGGATAAGGAAAGATAACGGTTGACTCTAGGTTTAAACAAGTTAAGAGTATAGTGATCGAGGAAAAATCTTCTTGGGAGTCTGTGCCATAGGGGTATGGTTCGCGAGAGGAAGCTGTTTGAGTGGAAATTACTTCTCGTCGACGGAATATGGGTGGTTTGCTACTATATAAGTGGCATAACGTGTCCTTGCCGTGAAGGCCAGATTTGGTGGAATCAGGAGGTGCACGAGCAAGCACTTTCCATCGTAGTAGCGACAGGGCACTGAGAGATATGCCACACCCCGGTTGAGAGGCTGGGGCTTCTTCTTCTTCTTCTTCTTCTATGTAGGCGATAATGGCTATCCAAATCGTCCTAAATAAATTCGACAATTGTCCACTCCTTTTTTTCCCTGTTCTGCTATTCAGTCACACAAAATTATTACGTAGGTATCTCACTGTTTGCCACTCTCCTCTTGCTTTCAATAAATGCTTGTAATGGTGTCGGATGTTGAGACAGTTAATATAAGTTACCCCGTTGTTATATGTATTTGTAGTAGTTGATAAAGGATCCCTTTTCTCTTTTTT